GGGTCTAGTCAAGTGTATTGCTGGGCAAGCCCTTGCTGAACAAAGGATCAATTGCCCCACAGGCCCAAGTCAGGTTGGGGTTCCCCAGGAGTGGGCCTCTGCCTCCACCCTCATGACAGGGCACCCCGCTCTGCTTTCCAAGGCACGCTCATACCACCCAGCAGGCGTTGCCCAGGTCTGCGATCTTGATCTTGATCTTGTCTGCATTTTGGGGTTCTAGGGGGTTCACCAGGAGGTTCGAGGCACCAAATGGTGCTAAGTAAGTAAAAGAAGGGAGAAACTGAGCTAGCCTGGCCCCTCCCACCCTACCTGCCCACCACCCGCTGACCCTGCCCTGCTTACTGCTGGGCGACAGGAGGCCCCCAGTCTCCCGCTGGTTGGATGAGCCTGAGAGGATGGAGCATGAGGCAGGAGAGAAAAGGGAGCCGGAGAAGCCTGAGGTCTGGGAGCCTGAGCTGAGGCTTCGGTCTCCACCCTGGGCAGGGGAGGAGGAAGCTGGGGAGGGGCCGGCCCTGGCCCCCCCAAGGTAGCAGCCAGAAGATGAGGTGGAGCCGCTGCCCCCCTCTAGTCTTGAGCCAGAGTCTGGGGAGATGGCAGAAGTGGTGGTGTGTGAGCTGATGCTCTGGTGGCCATGCTTTGCAGCCCCAGGGCCCCTCCAGCCCCTCCAGTTCCTCACCCTCGGCTTGGGCTGCTGCCTCCAAGGCCTCCAGCCTCTGCAGATCACGCAGTCGCTCCTCCAGCAGCCACTTCTGCTGTTTCCTTTTACGCCTCATCTTCTTTCTCTTGTTTTTCGACAGCTTACCTGGCTGCCATTAGAGCCAGGATCACCCCCGGGTTCCTGTCACCCATCCATTGACCAGCCCAGGCATCTGCCTGTGGTCCGCACACCCCACAGGGGACAAGACCTCCGGGCTCCAGGGCTCCCGTGGACATCAGAATGTGGCACAACCCCCCTCCGGGCCACTCTTTGGCATCAGCTTCCGGTGCACCTTCTGCCTTCACTCCTGCCTTCACTTCTCAAAGCTCAAAGTTGGGGAGGAGCTGATGGGCTTGCCTCTGACTGGGTGTCTGCCTCCCCAGGGGCAGCCTGGGCCCCTCAGCTGGTAGGCAGTGGCAGGCAGTTTGGGTCATGTGACCCACCACCCTGTGTATGCCCCTCATCTAGGCCACCCAGCCTTTTGGAAATGCCACTGCAGGGGTGCTGGGAAGGGTGGGGAGGCTGAGGAGGTAAGCTTTGAGGACATGGGGAGATGAGGCACAAGAAAAGAAGAGTGCCCAACTTACCCAGACCTCCTGGGGGGCATTGCTGACTGGGGGCAGGATGGGCACCGATGGTGGGGAGAGAAAGAAACAGAGACTCAGGCAGGGGCGGAGGCCCCCAGGCCCAGCTCCAGCCCCACACAGGCTCTGGTACCTGTGGAGCGGGATGGGGGTGGGGCCCCTGATTGCTGCCACTCTGTGGCCTCAGCAGCCAGGCGCCTGATGTAGGTGTCACCCACACACAGCAGGATGTTCTCAGGCTTGATGTCTGTGTGGATGATCTTGCACTTGGTGTGGAGGTAGTCCAGGCCATTTAGCACCTGGGGAGAGCCACTCCTGAGCTCCACCAGCCCTGCCCAGGCTGCCTCCCAATGCTGTGCACACTGGGCCTGGGACACTCACCTGTCTCACAATGCTTTTCACGCAGGGCACAGGCAGGCCCTGGTAGTTGGACTTGATGATCCACTTGAGGAGCTGGTGGCCTAGGACCTCTAGAACCATGCACACATCTGGGACTTGGAGTGAAGGGTGGTTGGCAGACACACAGCTGGGACACAGATCCCACTCACCCTCAGCTGGGATGGGGGAGCAGTGAGGCTCAGGCAGTGCAGGGCTGGGCCTGGGTGGTCCTGATGATCACCACCATCCAGGTGTCATTGTGTCCCTGTCATAGCCAGGTATGCTAATTGGGATGGTACATTCTGTGGTCATCCTAGAGAAAAGGCACTTGAGGAGCAGACACAGTGTCGCAGATCAGCCCCACTCCAATGCCCAGGTGTGCCACAGAGGTGGCCCCTGCTGTTTGGGGGTTACTCAGTAACCTGGTTACCCACCCCTTCTCCATAAAAAGTAGGGCATTTCAAAGACAAGTGTCATTGGAAGGCATATAACTCCATTGCGCAGATTTGCAAACTGAGGCCCTAGTAGCCACAAAGGCATAAGCTGGCCCCTGCATTGCCACAGTGCTTTCTTTGCTCAGCCTACAAAGGATATGGACTCCGTTAACCCCTGAAATCCTGAAGTCATCGATGAGCTGAACAATGGTCTCTCTTTTGGGGTCACTGGGGTCACTGTCTCGGACCTGGACCAAAAACCAAGGGGCCATGGATGACTCCAACCTGCCCCTCACCAGTTGCTCCCAGCAGCAGCCCCCTCTCCCATTCCAGTGGGCTGCTGGAAGGAAAGCTGCCAGCCCCTCCCTTGCCAGCTCCTCCAGGTCCTTCCAGAAAGTCAGAGCCAGCGGAAGCCTGCCCCTCCCCAGGAGCCCCAGCAGGCCTTGCACCCACATTGCCAGGCCCTAGGCAGCTCCCAGAGAGCTGGGAGTTGGTAAGGGAGGTGTCTCACACATTTCAGGAGCTTGATCTCATCCACAGCTGTCTCCGTGTAATGCCCTGCGCTCTTAACCACTTTCAGGGCCACGAAGCGCTTGCGCCTGCAACGCCAAGACCCGTGTCAGCAGCCAGCCCCAGCTAGACCCATGGGGAAATCGTGATGGCCCCATCCAAGCCCAGAGGCAGGATCCCAGCTGGCATTGGGACCCAGGGGGCAAAGGGGACACTCACTGGATGTCCCAGCAGAGCCAGACGGTGGAGAAGTGGCCCCAGCCCAGCTTGCGCACCACGTGGTACCGCCCATTGAACAGGTCCCCGATCTTCACAGGGTAGTAACCACCTGGGGAAGGGAGCCAATAGAGCCCCGTGGGGGCCGTCGCCCTTCTGGCCCCCTGGCCCACGTGGGTTGATGCCAGCACCCTCTTTCTCCTGGGTTGTCCCGCCCCCCTTGGCGGCACCTGGCTGCCTGAGTTCTAGGCCAGGCCTCACCCTTGCAGTAGTCCTTAGGGTCCTCCTGCTCCTCATCGTCAGATCCCAGCAGCCTCTGCAGCATCCGCGGGGCTGGCGCAGCCGGGGCTAGTTCAGAGCTTGAGGACTCGGGCCCGCCGGAAGCCTGTGAGCTGCGAGCAGGGCAGGCAGGCAGGCAGGCAGTGAGTATGTGAGACGCCATGAGCCCCCATGCGCCTGGCCCGAGCCCTACCTGCTGCTGCTGCTGCCGCTGACACTGTCCCCACCGCCCACACTGGCGCTCATCCCGGCTCCGGTGCCCCGGCACCCCGGGTGGTTGCTCCTGTGGGGCCCGGCCTCAGCCTGTGAATTTATAGCCTCCGCAGCGGCTGGCCGGCTGCTGATCTCACCCGCCTTTATAAATAGCCTCCCAGCTGCTCAGCTGTGGGCAAGGTATGCAGCGGGGAGGGGGCAGTGCTGTGACAGGGGCCTGGGAGAGCCCAGCCCCCAGGATGAGCCCTCTGCTGCTGCCCCAGGGCTGGCAGAGGGTGCCACCTGGGGGACAGGGTGTGACCCAGTCTCCACACTCAGCAGCCCCACAAAAACCCCGTGACCAAGGGGATCACCCATGTGGGGACATGGCTACTGGACCCCTGTCTGAGTTCTCAAGGTCCAGAGCCAGCTGCGGGGGACAGCTAGGCAAGGACGCTGTGCGCATGGCAACCCTATCCTCAGGCCAAGACCACTCTGCACTCTCTACCCCCCTTCACCCCCTCAGTGCCTAGAGCACCATTGACACTTTTAGAGCATTCTGTGGCTTATCACTTGGCCCTTATGGGAGCCTTCCCAGAGGGGACCTCTCATATTCTCATGGACACCCCACTCCCTACTCACTCTCAGCTGGGTTTCCACTTTTCCTGTGCCTCACTGACCCTTAAGAACTGTGGAAGACCTGTGTCCTCCTTTTTCTGAATGTGGGTCACTGAGGGCCCTGGTGTCACTAGAGTCAGGGGCATGATCTGAAGGCAACCCCTTCTTCCTACCAGAGGTGCCAGCCAAATGGAAGCCTGGGAACCTATCCAGAGAGGACTCTGGCACCGAGACCCTGTGCAATCTCTTTCCCGGCTCTGTTCCAGGCCTGCCGTTCCCTGTCCTAATCATTGTCTCTACCAACGTGTGCCATGTGCTCAAGTGGGAGGCATAGGGAGCTGTTCACACTGGCCCTGCCCTCAGGGGTGCTCCTCTAGTGGGGAGCAAACGAGCCTTGCCAGCCTCTAGTGGCTGGTGACAAAGGGATGTCCAGATCAGGCAGAACTTGTGACTTTGGAGCTGTATCCGAGGGACCAGGAAGAATCGGGTCTTCAGAAAGGGGGTGGGTGGATAAGCCTCCATAGTGGGAAAGGGCCGCGTCGGGGTAAGGCCAGCAGCAGGATGGGCTGGAGACCTCCATGGCTTGTCTGGTCGCAGATTGGCTTGGGGTAGCGGGAGAGGAGGGGAGGCCTTGGGTGGGCAAGCATGCGGTTCTGGCAGAGGCTGATGGGCACTTTTGCTCTTTAGGAGAATCACTCTGGCTGCTCCCAAGAGGGAATGTAGGGGGCAAGTGTGGAGCCTGGAGGCCATCTGGGAACTGTCAGGGAGTCAGGATGAAACAGGGGGCTTAGCAGTGACTGTGGTTAGCCCGAGACAGGAGACATTTGGTCCTGTGTCCTTACACCAGAAAAGAGCTGCTGGGTTGGGGTGGGCATAGATGTGGGCAGGAGGGCAGGGGCACCTTTCCTGCAAGAACCAGTGGAGGTGAGGGGAGGGAGGAGAGCTAGGCCTGGGGGTGCCTAATGATCCCTCTTTTCCTCAGGAGCAGAAGTCACAAGCCATGGGCTGACGAGAAGGCTGCGTAGACTCCAGGGGAAGGAAGGGGCTGGGGATTGGCCTTTTTCTAAAAAGACATTTTATTTCCAGGTGCAATTCTTCAGTAAGCAAATAAATATAATGAGGGGGAGAGGGAAGGATTGCTATAAATTAGAAAAAAGCCGGGGGCGGGGAGGAAGGGCAGGACGGGGAGGGGGTTGCAGGGAGTTCCCCCCTACTCTGCCAGCCCCTCTCTTCTGTTGCTGGCTGGATCCAGGGGTCATAAGGCACTGTGGCGGTGGGTCCTGCTCATTGCTCTCCAAACTGGCGGGCCTCAGGTTCCCACTGCAGACTGAGTTCATAGGTCGGTCACCTTGTTCTCCACCAGAGCGGCAATCTGCTGCAGGCGGCAGGCCAGCTGCATCTTCTGGCCGACAGGGTCCTCCTCCAGGGCATTGATGATCTGCCAGGGCAGAGGAGGGTCCCCTGCATGAGCCCCCAGCCCTCTGACCACTGACCCAGTGCCACCCAGCCCAGCTTCTATCTCAGCAGTGGCTGGGGGATCCATCGGGGACTGCCCCTGGCCTCCCTGAGGAATCTAGACAGAAGCCAAGCCCCTGCCCGGCCTGGGTCCTTCCTCCCCTCTACTTGCAGTGGTGGGCCTGGACACCTCCTCCGCCCCCAGGGAGGTGCTCCTACTCCTGGGGAACCCTGGTCTCACCTGGTCATAATACCTGTGGATGTGTTTGTAGAGTTCTTGCAGAGCTTCCAGACAGTGGGGAGCAGAGGTGTAATTCTGGGGGCAGCACATTGAGGGGCTGAGGCCTCAGCCTGGGCCTCAAGCCCCAAGCTTCCCCCGTCTACCCTATCTCCCAAATGTGGAGGGGTATACCCCTGGGCCATGCCTCACCCCTGAGAGCTCGGCTAGAGCTGAATTCATTTCCTGGTAGCTTGCTGGAGAGCTCTGGCGAATGTCAGAGTAGTATCTGCAGGAGGGGACACAGTTAGGGGTGGGCAGCTTCCACCCCCAGCCGTGACACCCTGACACCTACCTCTCCACCATCTGCTTGTAGCGAGGGATCTCCCGGGCATAAAGCAGTTTGTTCACTGGGGAATCCTGCTCCGGGTAGGGGTGGGTGTTAGTGGGGAGGTGCAGGAGCTCTGGCCCTATCGCCCAGACTGTGCCACCAATGCTCCCTCCCCCTGGCCCTCATTATGCATCATTTCCCCCAGCTCCACTGAGGGCTCTGTACCCAACCCCTATGGCTTCCCCCACAAGCCTTTTCTCCTTAATCCCCTGGCTGCCATCACAGCCGGCTCTGCTCTCACCCGGCCCACTTTATGCTCTGAGACAGTGCAGGAGTCGATGAAGGTCTGGGCAATGACGGCAAGGATGGCGTCCACGTTGTCTGATACCCGTACATCAAAGATGAGCTGTGGGTTCTTCAGCGTGTTCACCCAGAACCGCAACAGCAGGCTGGAGACACAGGCCGCCGTGGGTATGAGGCACGGCTAGTCCAGCACCATCACATCTAGCACACACCACCAGCCTAGGCTCCAACCATGAGTTCCACAGGGAGCTGTCCTGTGAGTCCATGCTGGGCAGTGGTCAGAAAGCTGATACTTCCAAGCCTGGGTTCCTATTCAGGTCCTGCTGCCCTCACCATGGCAATATCCTTGTCCCTCTGGGCCTCCATGTCCCATCTGCACGGGGATGGGAGCAGCAGGCAAGATACCTGTTAGTCTTCCATATGTGCAAGGTCTCTGGGTCCTCGATGCCATGCTTCTCTGCTAGCTCATCCAGGAAGTCAAACAGGTACTTGACAGCAATGGGCACAGGCCGGTTCACGCTGAGGATGGCCTGGAAGGTGTCATCCACAAACTTCTGCAGCGTACCCTAGAAGGAAGGGGAGTGGGCTCTATCAGTGGGTATGGGACTGCCCCTCAGCCTCTCAGGGCCATGTCTTCTCCCCAGCTCAGTCAGGGGCCCCTTGGTGAGCCTTCCTGTCACATGGCTCCCCTGGGGCCCAGCTCCCTAGCTGTACCGACCTTCATGGAGAGTAGGCGGGTGAGGTAGATTTCCGGGATGGCCTTGGCCCGTGCCCGCTCCCGCTCCCGTTCCCGCAGGCTGCTGCGCCGTACCTTGGCCCCTTCTGGCTCCTCAGTGCCTTTCACCAGGTGCCAGAGGTGGACCCCACCCTCCTCGCCATCCTCCAGCATGGGGATGTCTGAGGACACACATGCCAGCCTCAGTCCTGTGCTCCTGCTGCCCGCCCAACCCACTTGGCAGCATGGTGCAGGGTAGGAGGGGCCCAGGAAACAGAGGGTAGCAATGTGGAAAGGAGGGTGGCAGCCCAGGGGCTTGCTCAGCCCAACACCCCACGCCCCTGGAGCTCCCTGACCAGGATACACATTGCCCTGATCTGCCCCAGGCCCTTGGCTTAGCCTGGAGCTTCTGCTGGCCTGCTGGCAAGGTATGAGGAGACCCAGGTGATGGCATGACCAGGACCCCTGCCTGCCCGCCTCAAGTTCCTGGGGGCAGATAGGCATGACTGGATTTTGGGACTCACTCTCCCCGGAGGGGCAGCTCTGGGCCAGGCTCTGGCAGACGGCGCCTCTGTTGTGCATCTGGGGGATAAGTCCCACTGTGGCCCCATCTGGGACCTGGAGGGGAGGGGAGCAGAGGCCAGGCTTCTTCTCTGGCTGATCCAGAGGCAGGAGGCCTGCTCCCCAGTCTGTGCCCACCCCAAACCTTATAGTGCTGCAGGGTGTTGAGTCTCTTCCAATGATTCTGAATCACCGAGGTCAGGTCCTCATCTGACAGGGTTAGGTGACCAGCCAGGCCCGAGCGCCATTCTGGAGGGACCCAGGGAAGCCAATCAGCCTGCAGCCCGTTCCCCAAGTCTGCCATCCAGAGCAAGGCAGAGTTGAGCCTCTACAGGTGGAACAGACCCAAGAGGGGAGGGCAGGCAGGCTCTCTCACCAAGGTCTAGGGTGTGCACAGAGGGCCTCTGGGAGAAGGGGGTACCCTTGTAGACTTGGTCCAGCACCTTCTCCTTGACCTGGGTGATGGTGTCTGTGTCGAGCACGCGGGCAGGCACACGCTGCGCTGCACTGCTCCCTGCTGCCCCACCAGCCCCAGGGCCCACCAGCACCATCAGTGTTAGGGGCTGGAACTCCACATCCTCCCGAAGCAGGCGACTGTCATTCAGAGTCCTTTTTGCCTTGCCTGTTACAGCATCCACAGGACCTTTATCCACCTGGTATTGGATGGCCCGGAGGAGCATATACAGGGGTTCACCAGCCACCTCCTGCAACCATTAGGATGGGTTAGCATTGGCCAGGGCATTGGCAGGCTATGCAAGGCTTGGTGGGGGTGGGGAGGGTCAGCCAGCTGTACAGAGTGAGGGCGGGCAATGGCAGCTGGCCTCTACCACACATCCAGCCCAGGGGAAAAAAGTTCAAAGCCCTTCCCTTTCCGCCCATCCCCCAGTGCTGTGCCCTCACACCAGGAGGCCCCTGGGGGAATCTGGGTGCAGGTTAATGAGGCCACTGGCAGCAGTCCCTCATTGGAGCAAGGGCAGAAGGTGCCTGCCATCCAGGGCTCCTCTCACCCTCAGGAAGGTGTAGAGACAGATGGACAGCCAGTTAGTGAGCAGCTTCTCCACCATGGTCTCTGTTCTGTAGGGAGCAGGCCTGAGGTTAGAGACGGGTGCCACAAGGCCACCCTGTCCCTGGGCTGAAACGGCAACGGAGGTGAGACAGAGCTTTTCCTCCTTGTCGGCCCTTTGTGTTAGATCTCTGGTGAGGATGCCTGTCTACTTCCCTAGCAGTGGTTTCTGTCCTAACCTACCTCCTAGGGGTTCTTGGCCCCACCCACCCCAGGATAGAGCAAGGTAGTGGGTAGCTCAAGAGGGCGCTACCAGCCCTGCTGCCAGGACCAAGGTCAGGCCAAAGCCAACCTTCGAAGCATGAGCTTGGGATTCTTGTGCACATAATGGGCAGCCAAGTCACCAAGCAGCGTCCTCATGATGTCAGTCAGGTACTCAAGCTTGCTGTGCAGTGCCAGGGACAGCAGTGAAGCCACGTGACAGCGGTCCCGCTGGGAGAAACTGGGCTGCTCCTCCAACGTGTGGATGAGCTAGGTGGTAGAGGGGGCAGCTGGGGCTCACTCTGAGAAGCATCTTGCCCCATGGGTCCTCCGACCTTTGTGCTTATACCTACCACCCAGCCCAGCCCAGCCTGTGCCCAGCCCCCACCTCTTTGCCCTCCCTTCCCTGAGATCCCCTGCCCGCCTGTGTGGCCCTCACTGTGAGGAGAAAAAGCTTGCTATTGAGCAGATTGGAGAGCTGTGTGAGGCCCTGGTGCACAGGGGCACGGTGGCCTTCTTCCCCAGGCCCTTCGAACACGGGCTGCAGCGGGCAGCCACCCTGCCCTGGGAAGAAGACGCGCTCAGTGTACGTGCGGTAGTCCAGGAAGGGGATCCCGCTGGCTTCCAGGTCGCTGCTGAGGTCAGTCATCTCGGTCATCAGGTCTGCAGATCGGGAGCCACCAAGGTGTGGGCTCAGGCCCCAGTGGGCCCTCTGCCCACCTCCCCACTGCCCCCTCCCCACCTGTAAACTCCTTGCGGCACTGGTCACCCACGCCAATCTCCAAGTTCTCCAGCTGCACCAGAACCTTCTGATAGTCGCGTAGGGCCTGCTTGCTCTTGTGCCTGCAGCCCAGGGACTAGGTGTTAACCACAGACCCAGGCCTGCCTGGGCCAAGGCCATGAAGTCAGAATGGCTGCCTGCTTGGAGTGCCCTTTCCAAGTGAAGAGGGAAGTTTGTGCAGGTGCGTGCATGATCGGGAGGGCCCCTCACCTGTACATGAGAGTGAGGAGGAGCACAGCGGCGATCAGCACAGCAGCTCCCATGCCCAGGCCTATCTGTGCCTTCATGGGGAATGCTGATGGCACGGGCTCAGCCTCATATTGGACGGGGCCCAGAGTCAGGCGCAGGTTGCCCATCTGCACCTGGTGGGGGGCAAGGCTCCTGAGCGTAGGCTGTCAGTGCTCCGTTTGGCCATCTACCTCTGCACCCAGGGCCAAGCCTTACCACAAACTGTGGCAGTGTGCTGGAGCCATTGGCAGGCTGTGGGACCCACGGGGGTGGGTCACAGTACAGGTGGGTGAGTGTGAGTGTCTTCACCAGGCACTCGCTGTCGCCAATGTGCACACGCACCTCCTCCTTGCTGATCCCCAGGTTGAGGCCCTCACCCTAGGAGACAGACTAAGGGCCTGAGCCAGGCTACCCAGCCTGGGCCCACAGCCTCTGACCAGTAGTGGCAGCAGAAGCCCTCACCTCCACATCCAGGACATTGCCCGGCTTGAGGCGGGCAGGTCCCTTGTGACTGAGGGGGGCCAGCCGGGGATTGGGCTGGTACAGGAAGTCCTGTCCCCCACTGGCATTGGCAAAGTCCACGTGCACATTGTCAAGGGTGAAGAAGACCCGCTGGGGGTGTGTCCCATCTGGCACGGTGGGACTCTGGCACAGGAGGAGGCTGGAGGAATTGATGGAGCAGATGGTGGAGCACTGCGAGGAAGTTGGGGCCAAGATGAAGGGGGGTGAGCCGAGGCTTTCCTGCTCATTCCCAGGGACATGGTGGCCTCCCCTGCCCCCCCTCTCCAGGCATGGCCCCATGGCAGCCCTGATGACTGCTGGTGGAGGCTCACCTGCAGCAAGCCTCCCTCAAGCCAGACACAAGCCTGGGGAGCTACAGCATGGGCCCCACAGCTCCTCCTTAGGTCCTGGGGATGGGACCCTGCAGCCTGCACCTCGGCCGTGGCCTCCAGCCACACGGACAGTAGGGGCCACCGCACCACATCCAGATCCTTGCCCCTGACTCGGATAAGCCGCCCACCCCTGTGCCAGGATAGTAGTCAGCCAGGGTGGGAGTGACGGGCAGCCCAGCTCAGCCCCGCCTCCCCACCTCTGGGCATCCTGGGTAGGGCACACAGGTTGCCCCAGTGGAGCAGGTTCTCACCCTCGGAAGCTGACGCTGGGCTCTGCTGCCAGGAGCTGGGGGTTGGCAGTGTAGCGGAAAGGGCTGGCCAGGAGTGTGCGCTGGGCATGGCCAAAGACCACACGAACCACAGCTTCTCCTGGGCTGGCCTGGGGCATGGTGTGGCACACAATGGCCTCGGGACACACTGGCTCCTGGCTGCAGCGGGGAGAGGTGTGCCATCTTGGGCTGCAGCTTCAGCCTGGCCACCCCACAAGAGCCCTGCTTTGCCTCCCTCTAAGGCAGAGCCCACCAGGGGTGGTCACAGTGGCCATTTCTCTTGGACTTTCATGGGGACCTTGGGGAGCCTTGAGTCCAAGCCTTCTGCTGTACATAAGAGGACACTGAGGCCCGGAAGGAGCATCCCCAGCTGACAGCAGCCAGGCTGGAATGTAGAAGGAGGAAGAGAGACATACTCACATAGGACAGGACTGGCTGCCCACGAAGGCACTAATATTGCCTCCTGTCTGGAGGTGCCGCCCATGGATGGTGAGCTGGGTGCCCCCTGCCTGGGGACCCCACTGGGGGCTCAGGCTCAGCAGGATAGGGTCCTAGGGGACAGGGCAGGTTGGGGCAGGCATGGCAGCCCAGCCTGGCACTTCCTCACCTCAGTTCCAGCCCCCAAGGCTGTGAGGTGTGGCCCGACCACACCCACCTTCTGGAAGCCCTATGCTCAGCTTCTGTAGCCCCATAGCTCTCCTCTTGCCTTGACCACTGGGGTGGGGGCTCTTCTCTCCTTACTGTGTCTGCTCCCCCGAGGCCTCCTCTGCCATTGCCTGCATTTCCTAGGCCCCCCCAAATGCTAAACTCTGAGATCCAATTGCTCCTTGGGGTGTTTTATGTGCCCAGCAGATGCTAACCCAATGGTAACCTGCCCCTGACCCGCACTGCTCTTGCCCTGGGCTCCTTGGCCCCCCAAATGTCCCCAGGAGGCCCCTAAGGCTCAAGCTAGCACCTGAAGGCCTCCCCGCTCTCCCCCATCCCTGTGCCCACTGGCAGCCAGGCCTGAAGCAAGTCCCAACAGCTCCGAGTCCCACACTGGCCCACCCACCCTCTGCCCTTGTTACTTCTGCTGCCTGCTTCCCTCCTGGACAGCTGTTGCCAGCAGTGTCCTCACTGCGCCGCCGCTGCTCCTAGCCTGTCCTCCACTCAGACCATGTAGCTTCCCTATTGGACATGTGGCAATATTTCTGGCTACTCTTAGGTCAAGTTTGAAATCCTCATCTAGTTGTTTGTGCCTTTCTGCCTCTCAATCTTACTATCCCTCTGCGTGGGGTCCATCCCAGGGTGGGCACTGACCTGGTAGGTGAAGTGCTGGGTTGAGATGCCTGGTGGTCGACTGTTAATGGCCACTTGGATTGGCCCTGTGGTGCCATTGGGGGCAGGAGATGTCACACACACAATCCTGGGGAGCAGAGGCCCGGCAGCTGCTCAGGGCCCCTATGGGCTGGGCCCTTCCCTGGCTGGAGCTCTGGGCCACCCACCAGCCACAGCCTGAAGCCTGCCCCTTCCACCCCTCTCCCTGGCAGCTCCCCTCTCTTCCTCCCTTGGCACATCTGACCTAGACTCGCATTTCTTGGCTGTAAGCCTCCCTTCTTTCTGGGTGGCCAGTCCCTGAGGGCCTCACCGGGCAGAGGTGCGGTAGAGAGAGGGGTCAGGGCTGCACGGCTGGCCAGCCACGCTCACAGCATCCTGCACGTCGGCAAAGTCCCGGCCCAGGTTGGAGCCCAGAATGGTGAGGGCCAAGCCACCCTCAGGGGGACCAGTCAGGGGCTCAATCTGCAGCAGGGAAGGGCAGCCATGGGATTCCCAAGTCATACCTGCTCTGCAGTGAGGAGTGCCTGGCTAGCTGAGCAGACTGGGGCAGGGCTCCTCTGACCTGGGAGAGGCTAGGACAGTGAGGGACAGGGCAAGGGAGAGGGGCTAGGGGTGAGGGAGGGGGTGGGAGACTGGGCCATAGGGGAGCAGTGTGGGGTGGAGGCCAGGGTGGGGGCTGGGGGGCTCACGGTGTCAATGCTGGGCGTTGGACACAATAGCTCCACAGCCTCAGGTGGGCACAGTGGCCCGTAGAGACAGGCAGGCTGGCCATGGCTGCACCACAGGCAGCCCAGGCTCCTGTTGGCTGCCTGGCAGTGGCTACAGTCAGGGTGGCCCACGGCACAGTCGTACAGGGTCACTAGGGAAGGTCAGGCAGCACACTGAGGCACCTCCCCTTTGCCTCACACCCTGACTTGCCTGCCCTGCCGCCCCCAAGCTCACCATGAAGAGTACGGGCATTGTCCAGCCGCTGGCCCTCACCCCGGGTGACGTAGATGGGCACTGGGAGTTCCATCTGGGCCATGGAGGGGTGGAACTGTGGATGGAGGGTGGGTTAGGTCTAGCCCAACTCAAGACACCCCTAACCCCTGCCTCCTCCAGGATGCTCCTTCCAGAATAGGTGCCATTGTTAAGTGCCCACATCTCCCAGCAGATTGCAGGCACGGGGCAGAGGCTGTGAGCATCATGTTCCTGCTGCAAAGAGCAGGCCTTATGACAACGGAATGTGGAGGGTGAGCGTCTGAAGGCCTGGGGCAAACTTGGAGGCAAGGGGGTTTGGGGTATGTGGGGGCTGCAGAAGGCGCCCAGTGGCAGGTGAGGCTGTGGGGCTACCGTTCACCTGCTGAGCCTGGCAGTAGATGAGGCCCGCACCCCCGGCCATCTCTTCCAGGGAGGCTGGCAGCCTCTGCAGTTCTCCGGGCAGCTCCAGCCAACAGTGGTAGGAGGCTGGCAGGCCCTGGGGGTGGACATTGTCAGGACCCTGGGCATTGTCAGCCTCCCCTGACCCTGTTCCCATCCCCTGTCCACCAGATTGCTCACTTGGAAATGCTGGAGGTTCCGAACTCGCAGGGCCAAATGGCTCTCCCAGCCCACAGGCACCAGGTGGGGACCTGCCAGGCCCTCAACCTGAGGACAAAACCCTGGGCCATTCACCTGGATGCCCACCTGGGGAAAGAATATCTGTTAGCCCTTCAGTCAAGGCATAGCTAGTAGGGTGGATCTGCAGCAGCCATGAAAGCTGGCTGCTGGGTGAGCAGAGGCCCCAGACTCAGACTCAGCCCTGCAGCCATGGGGGGTTGAGCATTGAAAAGAGCCCAGAAGGCAGGGCCCACCCACCTCCTGGGTGCTATAGATGGTCCTCTCGCCCTCTGGGCAGTGCTCTCCGTACACACAGCGGCTGCTCTGGGGGCACCAGTGGCATCGCCAGAGGCTTCCCACACAAGCACGGCACCTGGAGGGACAGGGGGCTGCTCAGGCTGGGCACTATCTGAGGTTGCCACGCTTACCCAGCAGCCAGGACCAGCACTCACGGGGCAGCCACCTCCAAGGTCTGGACAGCATTGCAGTCGTAGAAGGAGAAGTTGGTGGCAGCTACAGCCACATCCTCAAACATCAGGGCCAGGGACAATGTGATGTGGTCTAAGAGGGCATGGTGGTGGCAGAGTGTGTCATGTGGCTCCTGCCCCTTCAGCTCCTGCCCCAGGCACCCTCCCCAGGGACCCCTCACCTGTGCCTGGAGGGTTAAGGGGCAGCTGGTCTTCGGGAGGGGTGACACAGGCCACGTGGGGCCCTTCCACATGAGCCAAGCTATCGTAGTCTCCAAAGGCGCAATGGAAATATTCATCCACAGCCAGGGTGGGCAGCCGGGGGACAGACAAGGTGACCTGGGGTACGTGCAAGGAAAGCAGAGCAGACAAGGGCTTCTCAGGCGGCCAACTCGCCAAGGGAGATGGGACCAGAGTAAAGTGACTAGAAGCGCAGGCAGCAGGAGAGGAGGATGGGGGCAGCCTGGGGGCATCCTGGGGGCACTCCCACCGGCAGGTGGTGGCATGAGCCTCACCTGGCCCTGCTCCTGGCGGGGGTGGTGGGTCGGCAGCAAGCTCTGGACATGCAGGCAGCGGCTGTCCTTCTCATAGCTCCAAAGCCACTGGTTGGGCTGGGCTGCCATCCTGCACTGGTCTTTGCGGGTACACCTGTGGTTAAGGGCCCACTGGGTCATTGTGTGGGTCTCAGGCTCCTTGGATGACTGGCAGCAAGGGGGTTGGAAGGATGGCCCAGCTGGAGGGCAGTAAGCAGGGGAAATGAAAAGGACTGTGCTGCCAGAAGAAGAGATCAAGCACAAAGGTCTTTGTGGCCAATGCATGGGCTTTGGCCTTGACAGTAAGAGGAGGCCATGCTGCAGAGGGAAGGTATGCACAACTGACTTAGGTGTCGCAGGGATTCCTGCAACTGCTGTGTGGAGCATGGGCTGGAGGGGACACCTGGGAGAGGTGACAGAGGCCTGACCCAGGGTAGGACTGAGAGAATGAGAACTGAACAGGTTTGGCAGACGTGGGAAGGGGCTGCTGACCAGGTTCCTGGTTGCATGGAATGGGGCAGCATGGGGGAACTCAGCAGTGGCACCAAGTCTTTACCACAGGGAGCTGAACTGGCCTCCTGGCATGCCTAGAGCTGCTTCCAGGTGTGGTCTCCTGTACTAGGCATGTCAGCCCAAACCAGGGCACAGGCCCTGCACTCACCTGCCCTGGAGGATGCACCAGCCACACAGCGGGTCCTGGGCCTGGAGGCAGCTGGTGCAGTCAGGGAACTGGGGGCAGGCTGCCACGGGTACCTGGTCCACCTGGATGGGTGGCAGGAACAGAGGCAGTGGGTGCAGGGACTCAGGCCTCATGTACCCAGCCCCCTGGGACAGCCCTCACCTGCTGGGCAGTCAGAACATAGAGGTGGCTGCCGCTGCTGTCTACCAGCAGGTCCGGGCTGATGGCTGAGCCTGGAGGCCCCACTTGCTGGGAGTGGTACACCCGGCTTTGGGAGCCATTGAGAAAGACCTGGGGGATGACAAGGACAGGGCTGGGCCACCCCGCTGAGCCAAGGCCCACTGTCAAGATGGCCTCAGGCCGACTGTTCAGGGCATGTGCTCTCTTCCTGCCCAGGGACACCAGGCCATAGAGAGTGGGGGAGGCCTGCGGGCACCCAGCCTTCCCATGTTGCCTTCTTCATTCAGCATCACTCAGCTGGGGTGGCAGGGCCACCCTGGGTGAGACCACTGAGCACCAGGAGTGGGAAGGCAGCTGTGGGGAAACAAGCAGTTGACGAGAAGGCAAGAGTTTGCCTTTGAGAGACTTCTGGGGCCAGGTTGGCTCTGAGGACCAGGCACTGCCCACTCTGCCACCATGCCACCCTCTTCCACTGTGGTTGTCAGCTCCCACTTATTGGCTGGAAAAGTTGGGGCTGTCTGGGAGGCTCCTGGGTTGTCATCCTAAGCCATGCCTCTGGGAACCAGATGGCAAGCAGGTGGCGCCCAGCCAGGACACAAGCCAAGAGACAGGGTACCTGGGGCTTCCCTACACTACTGCAGGGCCTAGCCTGGCAGTGTTGAGACCACAGGGCCTGGGAGGCTGGTGCTATAGCAGCCCCCTTGTTTTGTCAGGGCCTCACCTTATGCAGCTGGCCCTGGGTGTCCCCCAGGAAGGCTACCATGTTCCCATCTGCTTGTAGGGCTGCGATGGCGCTGATGGGCTGCCAAAATTGCAGCAGAGGCCAGGCCTCCAGGGGCTGGCGACCAGCAATGGGGCTGGGGGTGTGCTCATCGCCACAGGGGTACGACTCAGGGGAGTCCTAGACAGGCAGGGAGGGGAGAATCAGTTCTCAGAAGAGGCAGGTGGTACCTTCCCCAGGCCCAGAGCTAGTCAGAGGAGGACAGCCAGGCAACTGGTGAGAAGAGAGTGAGGCAGGATGGAGAACGGCGCCAGGGAGCCCCATGGCAAGACAAGCTCACACTGCAGAGAGCAAGAAAGAGCAGCTAGGAGACTTGGAGACCAAGCCGGCCCCTTCTTGACATCCTCTAACCAAGCGGTTGTGGCTAATTGTCACATGAGTGTCCAGCTGCCTACAGCCCAGAACTACATGTGGCAGCCCCTGCCCCGGGCTGTGCGATGCCTCAGGACCACAAGGGACAGGGACAGAGAGTCAGGCAAGGCCAGATGAGGCAGCAAGCGAAGGCAGCCAGAGCTGTTGCCAAAAGACAGTGGGTATAGCCTGAGGTGAGAGGGCAAGTGTGGGGCCTGGGTCCAGCCACTCACAGGGGGCAGGGTGACGCAGCGTGAAGTGACACCATACTCCACGGTGGCTTCCTCTGTGCCGCTGGGGCCCCGGCCACCTGCTGTGTAGCAAAGGCGCCGGGCCTGCTCCATGGTCCCGTCCAGTTCTGCCAGGGGAAAGGTGCACAGGGCCGCCTGTGCCCCCCTTGGGCCCGCAGCAAATGCCCCCAGCAAGGTGCCTGGGGCGAGGAAGGCAGCTTGGATGAGGCCTTGGCCGTGGCAGTTGAGGGGCACCTCGACATAAGAGTAAAGATTGGCATCCCCCAGGCAGACCCGGGCAATGTAGGAGCGGTACTCGGCCTGTGCCCGGGCCCCACGGCGGCGGAAGACGAAGTAGGCAAAGCGGGTGTTGGCGAAGGCCGCCACGTAGCTGTTGTTGTAGTCAGAGAAGTCTCCCACCACGAGGCGGCCCAGGCCCTCGCTGGAGAAGGGCTGTGGCCCAGCCAGTTGGCGGACAGTCAGGGGTGGTACCCCTCCTGACAGCTTGCCCGCCAGGCCTCTGGCCACCAGCAGGAGGTCTTGGCCTGGTGCAGGCACCACCAGGCCCACGGTGGCCACTCCTGGAGCGTTGGCAGCCACAAACTGCCCATCACCAGGGTCCTCGGCCTGGTACAGCAGCTTGGACACGTCGTTAAGGTGCCGCTTCTCGCATACACCCTGCCGCACTTGCCCGCAGGCCACCAGCTCCTGGGCCCGGCTGTTCACGAGCAGCAGCTGGTTGGCGTTGTCAGTAAGCTGGGCCTGTGGGCACTCAGCTGGGTCACGGAAAGGCACACAGTCGGGACTGTCGAAGATAGGGCCGGTGACAGCCATAGCCTCGAGCTGTAATTCGGGGCTGAGCTGGAAGAGGCGGTTCACTGCACCCACGTAGAGTGTGCCCTGGCCAGGCGCCAGTGCCAAATGGTTGAAGGTAGTGTTGAGTGCAGAGAAGTGATGGGCCTGACTCAAGGGCAGCGGCGGGCACAGCAGCGACAGCAGGAGCAGTAGGTGGGAGCCGGAGGGAGACCAGGGAGCCATCACAAGGTCCTGGGAGAGAGCCAAGCACCTGAGGCCCAGTGGGAGAAAGCGCTGCCTCCCCACCCCTGGTCAGCACTAAGGGCAGTGAGGGGAACTGAGGAAGAAGGGGTGAGGAAAACACCAGAGGGAAAGAAGAACTGAGAAGAGAGACAGAGATAGAAAAGTGGGGAGGAGAAAAGGACAGAGAGGCAGAGCACAGGGACAGAGAAAGATAGAGGACAGAGAGAAGCAGAGGGACAAAGAAAGAGCAGAGAGACAGAGAGAGTGAGACAGGGGCCAGAGAGCAAGGAGGACAGAGGGACAAAGAGACTACCCAAGAGGTGGGACTGATGTGCACATGCGTGCACAAGGAAAGAATTTCTTTTATTTTCTACTTTATAGGCATTCAGATTGTTGAGGAGCGGGCAGATCCTGAAAAGTCACAAGGACAGAAGGACACAGTGACAGATGGGGCAGTGACAAAGAGAGGAAAGACCGTGGAGAGGAGGAGAGGACAGCAGGGCAGAAGAGGTGGTGATGAGGAGAGAGGAGGGGAGGCAGCAGGGTGGGAAGCACCTAGACAACAGGGAAAGGGAGCAGGAGCTCGGAGACAGAAGAGGACATGAGGCCTGGCTGGTGTGGCTCAGCGGATTGAGCACCAGCCTGTGAACCAAAAGGTCACCAGTTCGATTCCCTGTCTGGGCAGAGGTCTGGGTTGTGGGCCAGGTCCCCAGTAGGGGGTGCGTGAAAGGCAACTACACATTGATGCTTCTCTCCCTGTCTTTCTCCTTCCCTTCCCCTCTCTTAAAAATAAGTAAATAAAGTCTTTTTTTGAAGAAGAAGAGGATATGAGAGAAGGAAGGCTGGTGGAAGCCACATCATGGGGGATACTGTGCCTGCAACCGAGATGAGAAAAGGCACAGGGACAAGAGGCATGAGGGCCAGCCAGAGCAGGGGGACCCCATCAGGGACAGTAAACTGGCCCTGGGCAGCCAGGGCAGCAGCAAAGTTGGACCCTCACCAGCGGCGAGAGGGAGTGTTGAAGAGAGGAGAAAGAGCCAGGGAGAAACTGAGGCAGTCAGAGGAATTCAGGCCAAGACACAGCTGGACACTGCCCCAGCTTGCCCCAAAGATGTCAGGGAGGGTGGAGGGCTAGCCAGGGCCAAGGAGAACAGGGTCATGCCACGGAGGGCTGTGAGGGCCCCAGACTCAGCTGGGCGTGGTCAGGCAGGGGTTGCAGGAGAGCTGGGAGCCAGTCTGAGGGGAGGAGGAGAGAGGGCACCAAGAGACAACACAGGGTACTGGAGGTCCGCCCCCCTGCTCCATGGGCCCCAGCAGCCAGGGTCCACTGGGGTCTGGCACGAAGAGTGTGGATGTGGAGGAGGGGGGAGAGAAAAGAGGGGAGTGAGAAGAAGTCAGGAAGAGAGCTTGACTGAGGAGAGGACAGTTGGGGAGGGAGGGTGGAAAGCCCGAAGGGAGTCCTGCCCAGAGAAGGCAGAGGCATGGCTCCCACCCATTCAGAGCCATTTGGAGCCCAGTCTGGAGGTGTCTCCCAGGAGGCCGGTGGGGGCCTGAGTGTGAGCCCTGCTTCCTAGCAGGGGGCCATGAGCAGGCTCCCGCCCAACAGCCCCAGCTGGCTGCTAGGTGACTAGGTGAGAGAGACAAGGAAAGAGATGCCAACAGGGCAGAACCCCCAGACCTTGGTGGACTCTTGCTCCTACCTCCTCCTGCCCCCAATCCCAGAGCCACAGAGAAGGGGACAGAAGCTGGGTTTTAAGTTGAGCCAGGATCCCACATAACTGGGCGTGTGGGCCCAGCAGGCCCATGGTCACTCAATGCCCCACAGCCTGCCAGCGGAGGCACATGCCTGGACTCCCAGGCATGCTAGTGGGGTAGAGCCCCTTATCTTGGTAACACAGACAGGAAGGTCAGGCCTGGCTGAGAGACAGGGCCATTTCCTCTAGACCTGGGATATCAGCGGCAGTGTCTGCGGCATGGGGGGGACAGCATAGAGGGACACTGTGGCCAGGAGGTGCAGCACACTGAAGCCCCACACCCAGGTTCCCCTATGCTATTTTACCTGCCCTGCTCCTCCCCAGGGCATCTCCGGGGACTTGGGGCCCAGGCACTCACCGCTGAGAAGGGGAACAGCAGAGGGAAGCACACCTCCTCACTTCAGCTGCACCAGGCCAGTGGTGACAGGCACAAGACTGCTGTGGGGGGCATTGCCCTGAGTGGGAGGGAGACAGTTGAGGCTCGGCCCCATTCACATTGGCCCTGGGGGACGAGGAGGCTGGAGGGGGGCAAGGGCCTAGTGGCCAGGCTCCACCACAGCTGGCAGCTTTGTCAATAGTGGCCGGGCCAAGGCAGCCCTGCCTCCAACTCAACAATGTCCCCTCTGTCCAGAGGCCAGGGACCCACTATCTGGTACTCTCCCCCCACCCCAGCTATTCTGTCCAAGGGGCTCCCTGCCACTCTCCGCCTTCAGAGAGACACCCCCTGGGATCTGGGGACAAAGGGACAGGGTTTCCTCCAGCCAGAAAAATGAGATCCACATAGCCAGCCCCACCCCTCTGGTGTCAGCCAGCGAGCTCCTCCTTGTGAATGGCGCAGGGGAGGCCATGGAGCCCCCGCAAGAGGGTCAGAGCACTGAGTCTCTGCAATGCCAGACTCAGCCTTAGTTGTCTTGGTGCCTGGCTGAAGTGCCAGTCCTGGCCCTCAATGCCTGCCTTTGTCCGGACTGGGGGCAGGGGAGACATTGACAAAGGCAACCCGTCCAGGAGACTCCCCACATCCCCACCCCTTTGGCCCAGAATAAGAGTGGCCAGAGAGCAAGCAGTCGGGCTGTCCCCATCCAGCCCCACCTCTGGGGACTGACAAAGTTGTGCCAGATACGTCATGGTGGTAGTGGACAGTGCTGGCAGAGGATGCACAGAAGAGGGTGGGGGTATGGCCCATAGGAACCCAACTCTTAGCTTCAGGCGAGGAAACTGGTTACCGGCCGTGCCCCTTCCCCTCCCCCAGGGAAACACCATCCCAGGAAGGGCCTAGACCCACCCTCCATGCATGGGGTGGGGAAAGGACTGTCTGCTGACAACTGGCTCCCTTGCCACCCTCACAGGGTACTGTCTGCACACTGGGCCAGCAGAGCTAGTATTCTGGATCGTGGCTCTGGGACAGGTGCGCTCAGGTTGGAGTCCCTGCCTTCTCCATGGTGCGCAGCAGCAGCAGCAGCAGCAGCAGGGTTTGCTGCCACCTGGCCGGGCCAGTTGAGTGGCTGTGGGGGCAGGGAACTAGGCGGGCCACCTCCCTACCCTGTTCCCTGCCCTTGGCAAATCCAGTTCTCCCATTTAGGGGCAGAAGTTCTGGGTCCTACCTCCCAGCTCTAGGACCACCCCCTGGGGGGCACTGTGCGACCAGGCACCAGGAAGTATCACAGGGCTGGGGCTGGCCCCTAAGGCCTTGTCCAGATCAGAACTAGATGGTCCTGTGGACCCCTGACTTCTCCCAGTTCGAGCACATCCTGAGGTATTGCCCCCCAATCTGGAGGCCCCTGTACCCCTTGCCCTCACCAGCCCTGGTTCCTGCGTACCTGGGTGGGCTGCTAGCAGGGGCTGAGAAACAGCTGGTGGTGCCAGAAGTGCGTCTCTGTGGAGTCCCGGCCTCTCTCCCCACAATGCAATCGTGCCCAACCCAACTCATCCTGGCGGCCACAGCCCAGCCCCTCCCCGCCCTCCCTTTTGCCTGAGGAAGCAGGGCAGGGTGCTGCTGCCCTCTGCTGGCCTTGGTGGGCATGGTGGAGGGCAGGTTGTGGGCACCTGAGTGGAGCAGGTGAGAGCAGGGCGGTGCCCTCCGATCGGGTGTCAGGGAAGCATTTCATAGCCTTCCACGAATGGCCTACTGATGTGGTTCAGAAACAAAGCCCACTTCCCCTTGCCTCAGAAGTCTTCTGGCCCTGGCTGGGTAGCTCAGCTCCTGATACTTCAAGGTTGCAGGTTCAATCCCCAGTCAGGGCATGTACAAGAATCAACCAATGAATGCATAAAGAAGTGGAACAACAAATCTCAATCTCAATTTCTCTCTCTCCCTCTCCCTCACCCTTTCTCTCAAATCAATGAATAAAATTTTTAATTAAAAAAAATAGTCTTCTGGGTCTCTGGCAGAACTACTTACCAAAAGATAAGGCCCCACTCTCAGAAAAGCCTACCTGTGGAGGGGCACCAGGAGGCACAAGGAGGGGGAGTTAAGCCTGGGGACGCTCAGGGCATCAGGGAGAGGAAGTGAGGTTTAAGCTAAGCTTACATGAGTGCTACTATTATGACCCTCCTCCTGAGGTACTAGGGCTGGGCTACATGTTCTGGGTATATTAACTCATTCGGTGCTTCTGATGGCCCCAGAAAGGGGTGTAGCTATTTTTCCCAGTTCATGGGAGAGGAAACTGAGGCATGAGAGGTTAGGAAACTTACACAAGGTTGCACAGCTAGTAAGTGGCAAGGCTAAGAGTCAACCACAGGGCCCGTGCATTTAACCATCAGGCCAGCAGCCCTGAACCAAGAACGCAGCAGGCACTGGGCAGGAGAGATGGGAACTGCCCGGGGCTGAGACTGCAGGTGACATGTCCATGGGGGGTGGATTCTCCTACCTGGAGCATACGGTTGGTCAAGGTAGGCTTTGAAGGTACAGAGGTCAACAACTCAGGGAGAACTTGGACTTACCTGGCCACGGCCTTTGCATTTGGACAAGTGCAAACTAGTGGCCATGGGGTGGAGAAGGTTGGGGGGGGGGCCTGGAGCAGGTGGGCAAGGAGAAAAGTGAGTGCATTCCAGACATGCTCTGGGGCAGCAGAATCCTGGAGACTTGGTATTGGATGAGGCGTAGGCAGTGAAGGCAGCAGAATCCAGGAGATCCCTTGGTCCTTTCTGCGGGGGCATTGCTCTCCATGAGGCATGGGAACCGAAGGGAGGAAGGACAGGAGGACTCAAGGGCCAACAGACAGAAGGAGATGGCCAATGGAGCTGTTGGAGTGCTGGTGTGAGAAGTTCAGCTCAGGGTGACTGGAGGACTAGGGGGCTGGTGTCAGTCATTAGAGAGGACTTGGAAGGGAGATCAGGGACATGGGAAAAGGCCAGGTGGCCAAGAAAGAGCCAGGGAGAGATTGAGAAGCTCTGGGAGGTATGTGTGGGATGATGGGGGTGGAGCTCTGAACAATAGAACTGGAAATGACTGTCCCTCAGTGTCCCCATAGTCATCTGGGCCTCTCTCCAATCTTGTGCTTCCCTGACCTCGCCCCCCCCCCCCCACACATATGTCTTTGGTGGCCTCAGGAAAGACAGACATCTTCAACGCCAGCATTGGGAAATTTTTCCTACCTTTCCACAAAGGAAAATAAATCTGTCCCCAGGCAACACAATTTTTAATCACTTTGTTTTATTAATATTTGAATACAGTCATCTCCATTTTCCCACCATCACTTTTTCCCACCTCCCACCCTCAATCCTACCCGCCTTTGGCTTTGTCCATGGGCCCTTTATACATGTTCTTTGATGACCCTTTCCCTGCTTTTCCCTCTTATTTCCCTCCCCCCTCCCCTCTGGTTATGGTCAGTTTGTTCTTATTTTCAGTGTCTCTGGTTATATTTTGCCTGCTTCTTTGCTTTGCTAATTAGGTGAGATCATATGGTATTTGTCTTTCACTGCCTGGCTTATTTCACTTAGCATGATGCTCTCCAGTTCCATCCATGCTGTTGCAAAGGGTAGGAGCTCCTTCTTTCTGCTGTGTAGAATTCCATTGTGTAAATGTATCACAGTTTATTGATCCACTCATTTACTGATGGGCACTTAGGTTGCGTCCAGCACTTGGCTATGGTAAATAATGCTGCTGTGAACATTGGGGTGCATAGGTTCTTTTGAATTCAATTCAATTCATGGTGTTTCAGGTTTCCTAGGGCATAATCCCAGGAGTGGAATTGTCGGGTCAAAAGGCAGTTCCATTTTTAGTTTTCTGAGGAAATTCCATACTATTTTCCACAAGGGCTGCACCAGTCTGCATTCCCACCAACAGTGCACTAGGGTTCCCTTTTCTCCACATCCTCTCCAACATTCATTGTTTGTTGATTTGTTTATGATTGCCATTCTGACCAGTGTGAAGTGGTATCTTCTTGTAGTTTTATTTTGCATCTCTCTGATGGCTAGTGATGCTGAGCATCCTTTCATATGTCTCTGGGCCCTCTGTATGTCCTTGTTGGAGAAGTGTCTGTTTTATGGACCTCTAAAAAAAGGTCCTTTGCCCATTTTTTAATTGGGTTGTTTGTCTTCCTGGTGTAGAGTCATGTGAGTTCTTTATATATTTTGGAGATCAAACCCTTGTCCAAGATATCATTGGCAAGTATATTTTCACATACATTTGGTTCCCTTTACATTTTGCTAATGTTTTCTTTAGCTGTACAGAGGTTTTATTTTGAAGAAGTCCCATTTGTTTATCCTTTCCTTTATGTCCCTTGCTCTAGGGGACATATTGGTGAAAATATTGCTGTGTGAAATATCTGAGATTTTCCTGCCTATGTTCTCCTCAAGGATTTTTATGGTGTCACAACTTACATTTAAGTCTTTTATCCACCTTGAATTTATTTTTGTGTATGGTGTAAGTTGGTGATCGAGTTTCTTTTTTTTTTTTTTTTTTGCATGTAGCTGTCCAGATCTCCCAATACCATTTGATGAAGAGGCCATTTTTACTCCATTTTATACTTGTCCACTTTGTCGAATATTAATTGACTGTAGAGACTTGAGTTTATTTCTGGGCTGTCTACTCTGTTCCATCTGTTGATCTGTGTGCTTAAGGCAACACAATTTTTGATAAGTTATGTATGTTACAGGACCTGCAAGGGCTGCCACCATTCCTCCTAAGCAGATGACAAGTAGTCCTTGGTCTGAAATTGGTGGCACCCATGGAGAATCTTTGCGAGTTTTGTGAGCTTTCCCATCTTAAGAAAGGGAGTTGGGCTATATGTTTCCTTCTGCACAAGGCTCCTTCACCTCCCCGCTGTCCTTGGAGATATATTGGTGCTGATCCACATGAATTGGCCACTTGGCCAGCTGCACAGGAGGTTGGTTATCACTGGCCCTGTGCGGAGTGGGAAGGCAGCTTCTTCGTTCTGAGCAACCAGTGGTGCTACGTTGAGTGACTTGATGCTGTCTCCTTGCCAAGTGCCGGGTTCTCTAGATGCTGGAAGAAGACTCATCAGGTCACAGCGCATGTGCACTCTGGGTCCCAGGTATGGAGAAATCGTTTTCCAAGCTATCATCCCTACAATACTTCCACTGCCACTCTGTAGACAGGCATTTATGTTTCTTTATGTCTTTGTACATAGTACTTTTTTTGAGAATCTGTTAACAGTTTAAAAAAAAGATTTTATTTATTTTTAGAGAGAGGGGAAGGGAAAGAGAAAGAGGGAGACAAACATCAATGTGTGGTTGCTTCTCATGCAGCCCCTACTAGGGACCTGGGCTGCAACCCAGGCATGTGCCCGGACTGGGAATCGAACCGGCAACCTTTGGGTTTGCAGGCTGGTGCTCAATCTACTGAGCCACACCAGCCAGGGCTGTTAATGGTTTTATTTGTTTAATGTTAAATACCATGGGTCAAGATTGTAAGGATGAAAAACTCAGTCAACAACTGCCTCACAAGGGATAAGAAAAAATCTGCCATGATGTTAGCAAAGGTAAAGGAGAAAATTTACACTGTAAGAGGCACCATTTCCCTACAGAATACCTCTTGGCATTTTCTGAATGAATGGGCTTGGCAATCTAAATAAATAATTTCAAAAGATAACAGCAACAGATAAAATTTAAAGGGATTATTAAAGTAACAATTACAAGAGTGAAAAATTCTTGAACTCATTAAAATCACAAAGAAAGAACACTTATTTATTTTTGAACTTCATAAATGACTGAATGTGCAACTGACATCTACTAGTGATGATGTGGTAATATACAATTTGTCCAGTAGTTGAACAGTTTGTTTTTATTGTGTTTTCTAATCATAAGAGATTAAAGGCAAAGCCTATATGATGCTGTACATGGAAAAGGAACGGTCATCATGGGCCCTACTACCAATGAAATGGTAGGTAAACAAATCTTTTTCTGGTCAAGAGAAAATGAAAGAAACAGCACTCTGCATGCTTCACACTACAGGATGAATTTCCCTAGAAAGAATCCAGTGAAAATGGCTGCAATTACAACAAGAAGTGAAGGAAGAGGACTGGTAACATTCTCTCTGAAGGACGCAGCAGAGGTTGATCCAGGTTTATCTGAGTATGCTACCTTTCTGAGCCTTAAGCCTTCATCGCTCAGGTGTTGATTTTTTTCCATAGCTTCATAATTTCTCCCTGAAGTCTTTTACATCCTTCCATGAGTTTCCTTGTTTCAGTGTCACTGAGTGAAGCACTGTGTGGTTTTGCATCTTGTTTAGATACATTCAGCAGAACAGTTTTGCTAGGTTCCATATCATTCAATTGATCATTTTCATTGGGCATTTCAAAAACACATCTGAATTTAGAATCCATTAATTCAGTGGGTTTGCCTGTTTCCACGCAGCTTCCATATCTGAAATGTTTGGTGGAGCACACATTGTACCACAAACCTGTGTTCACTCTTTTCACTGGGAGCACAGTCAAAAAGGGGCAGCATTACTG